GCCCCTGGCACAGGGTGCCCAGAGAAGCGGTGGCTGCCCCTGGCTCCCTGGCAGTGTTGAAGGCCAGGTTGGATGGGGCTTTGGGCAACCTGGGCTAGTGGAGGGTGTCCCTGCCCATGGCAGGGGGTGGGACTGGATGGGCTGTGAGGTCCCTTCCAACCCAAACCAGTCTGGGACGCTATGACATATAGGAAGACTAATCTTTTGACATGTTGGCAGAGGCCACGTGACGCAAGATGCTCCAATCCCGGGCTCCCCTCTCTACACCATCAAAGCCTTCATTCCAGCCATTGACTCGTTTGGGTTTGAGACAGACTTGAGGACCCACACGCAGGGACAAGCCTTCTCGCTCTCTGTCTTCCACCACTGGCAGGTGAGTCCATGCCCCGGTGAGATGGGGGGAAGAGGGACACGGTAGGATCAGGCACCAGGTAGGTGCTCTCAGTAGAGCGCAGTGCCACAGCTTGTACAGGGTAGGACAACTTCTCTGGAGAACATCCTCAGAGGATCTCAAGTTGGGGAGGCTTTGTATGCTAGCTGTTGTCTGCCAGAAGCCAACGGCTTTGTCCCAAGTCACATCACCCTTTGCCATAGCGAGGGAGCGCTGAATGCTGCCCCTTGCTAAGTGTAAGGGTCCTTTAGAGCCTGGAGAGAGGACATCCTCATCGAGGAGAAGGGAAACTGGGTGCACTGGGTGCTCTGCAGCTTGGGGAGCAGAGGACTGGGAGTAGGGTTCGCACTGGTTGGCCTGCCATAAAGCATGGATTGCCACACTTTGGCTTTGGGACAAAATTCTGTCCTCTGGCCACTTCCCTGTCGGGGGCAAATCAAGTCTCGTGAGAGCTCACCATGAGCCTACGAGGTGCACAGCTCCTTGTGGTACAGCCAGGTGGGAGCAGCTGTCTGAGCCCAAGAGCTGGCTTAAAGGTCAAGATGTAAAAGCCCACGGCTTGTCTCATAAAAAGAATCAAGGTGCCTGATTTGTAGAGAGGGTTGTGTGACTGGGACCCATGTTGGGGGTTCTGCTCAGCAGGTTTTACAGGTCTTTTATAGTCTTCATAGTGCACAGGAAGGTGGAACGTGTTCTTGGCTTGGGTCACCAACACCATATTAGTGACTTCTCGCAGGAATGATCACCAGTAGTGACATGACAGTTTTTCTGTGCCAGGAGAACAGATGGGGTGTCAGGGCTGTCACACCAAGGACACAAGGGGGTATCCACAGGGCCCAGGAATGTGTCCCGTTGTAATTCGGGCTCTCCTGGAGACTGAACCAGCTTCCGGCATCGCTCTCACACCCTGCCCTGTGTTTCAGATTGTGCCTGGTGACCCCTTGGACAAGAGCATCGTCATCAGACCCCTGGAGCCCCAGCCAGCCCCGCATCTGGCCAGAGAGTTCATGATCAAGACCAGGCGTAGGAAGGTACGTCTGGGAGTAACCCCCACAGCGTCCCTCTGTCCATCTGTACCAGCAGCTGAGCTGTGTGGTGGTGTCCCTTGGGCACGGCACATCCCCTCTGTGTCCCCAGAGGGGACTAATGTCCTCTGGGCCTCATGACTCCCCTCACTTTTGATCCCTCATGCTCCCTGTTGGTGCCTGTGATGGTCCCACGAGCAACTCATCTGGCAGCGACTCCAACCAAAAGCGGGGTCCCGTGGCATCTGCTGAGCCCCGCTCCCCCCCCAGCCCATCTGACCCCTTGGTGGCCTGATTTAGCCTGGTGGTCCTGCAGAAAAAATCAGCAGCTGGGTCTGTGCTGGTTTAGTGAGCTGGACTGTATGAGGTTCAACAAGGCTCCGTGCCGGGTCGTGCCCTTGGGGCACAACAACCCCAGGCAACGCTACAGGCTTGGGGCAGAGTGGCTGGAGAGCTGCCCGGTGGAAAAGGACCTGGGGGTGTTGGCCAACAGCCGGCTGAATATGAGCCAGCAGCGTGCCCAGGTGGCCAAGAAGGCCAAGAGCATCCTGGCTTGTATCAGAAATGGTGTGTCCAGCAGGACCAGGGCAGTGATTGTCCCCCTGTACTTGGCTTTGGTGAGGCGGCACCTCGAGTGCTGGGTTCAGTTTTGGGCCCCTCAGTATGAGAAGGACATTGAGGTGCTGGGGCGTGTCCAGAGAAGGGCAACGAAGGGTGAAGGGTCTGGAGCACAAGTCTGATGGGAGCAGCTGAGGGAACTGGGGTTGTTGAGCCTGGAGAAGAGGAGGCTGAGGGGAGACCTGATCGCTCTCTGCAACTCCCTGACAGGAGGTTGTGGTGAGGTGGGTGTTGGTCTCTTCTCCCAAGCAACAATTGATAGGACAAGAGGAAACGGCGTCAAGTTGTGCCAGGGGAGTTTCAGATTGGAGATTAGGAAAAATGTCTTCACTCAAAGGGTTGTCAGGCCATGGAACAGGCTGCCCAGGGAAGTGGTGGAGTCTTCAAGCTGCTGAGCAACGCTTGATCCCCTGCAAATTCTCCTGCCTCCTCTGGAGCCCCAAAATTTATCTTAGTGCGGGACACCAGGGCTTTTTGGTGGGATCTCTGCTGGGATGGCTGCATGAGAGAAATAACCACTGGATTTGCTGTTACCTCACAGGGCTTGAGCGAGGACGTCAGCATCAGCAAGTTCTTTGATGACCCCATGTTGCTGGAGCTGGCCAAACAAGATGTCGTTCTCAACTACCCCATGTGAACGTGCTGCTGCAGCCTGAGGGCCGACCCGAGTCCTGGCTGGCGTCTGTCTGTCCTTCCCCATCCCTGCTTGCCCAGTCCTGGCTGCTGGCCGCTCGGGGCAGGCAGGGGGGCGCCCCTGGGGCGCGCTTTCCCCCTTGGTCCGTTTTTCCATGCCTGTAGCAGTCTCCCTGGGCATTCGTGGACGCTGGGTGCTCAGGGCCTGCCCCGTACAGGGAGCAGCCCCGAGTACTGATGCTTTCTGGATTATTAGTCTTCAGCCATTGTGGCCTCCAGCGAGGAGGTTGCGCTCTCCAGGCACGTGGATTATCCCCAGCCGCAGCGGAGCAGCGTGAAGGTAGTGTCGAGTTTACGAAGGACTGAGTGTAAATGTGCGTGTCAAGCGTTTGAGCTTTCTGCTGACCCTCTCCTGGCTGCCTTGGGCAAAGCACGTCTCTGGGCAGCTGAGGAAGGGGGGGATGCTGGTGGGGGGCTGCTTCTACCAGCCTCCCTGGGAGAAGAGGCAGGTGCGGCTTTTACCTTTTTTTTTTTTGTACACCTTTTCTGAACCCTTGTAAACGTTTAATACAAATTTCCAGGCGGGACTTAGTCTGATTGTGCCGAGAGAAGGGAGGGCTGGGAGAGGCTCGGCCTTAGAGCATGTGCTGCCCCGATTTCCCCCCCCGTCCTCAGCGCTGTGTCACCGTGAGGGCTCCATGTACCCCAGCCATCCTGGTCCTGCCGGTGATTTTCTTTCTTTCTTAGTGTCAAAGACACTAAGATTTTCTTCCTTTCTTGCTCGGTCTTGGGCTCCTGCTGTGTTTTCAGGGGATGTCTCACTTCTGGGAACCTGCCCCAGAACCTCCCTGTGCTCGGAGGGGCTTGAGAAGGTTTGGGGGGGCACGCAGCACCCCAGGGGCAGAGGGTAAAGCCAAGGACCCCCCCTTCCCCAAACCTTCTCTCAGCTGCTGGTGGAAACTGGGAGGCACTGGGCTGACGTAGACACGAGGGATAGGAAACAGCCTCGGAAAAGAGCGTCCAGCCATCCCGCGGTGTGTCGGGTCTCTGCGGAAACTGGATATTGCGGGGGATAATTCAGGGCCACTGCTCGCCAGCGGGGCTTGGAAACTGGG